TGGGGGCATCGGGTGGCTGGTTCAGGGGGTGTCAGATGCAGGGTCTGCTGGCACGGTGCTGGCAGCCTTGCAACTGGCACAAACACTGTAGCCAGCCTGTGCCCCTTTAAGGGCTCCGGGGCCGGGAGGGGGGCAGTAGAGTTTGCCTGGTGTTGGCCAGAGTGGCCAGCAGGGCAAGCTGGGAAGGGCTAGCCTGCCACTAGTTCGAACTAAAGGGCTACACAGCCCTTAGTTCGAACTAGTAAGTTCGAACTAGGCGTTAGTTCTCGTGAAATGAGGTTTACCTAGTTCGAACTAAGCGCTCCGCTAGTTCGAATTAAATTCGAACTAGCAGAGCGCTAGTGTAGCGCCTATCAAAGTTAATTCAAACTAACATCCGTTAGTTCGAATTAACTTTGTAGTGTAGACATACCCCCAGATAGCAAAGATCTGGCCTTAATGGTCTGCAATACCCCTCCCCAAACACATTCTGAAACTTAATGGAAATCACTTGTCTGGAATCCAACTTTAACTGAAAGGCCAAATAAATAAACTGGATCCAGGGTAAATTTCTTCCCATTTTAACTACTTATCAAACATTAATTAGTAACACAGGATTAAAAAAAACCATTAACATCAGTGTTTTCAGATATGTACAACACTCCAAAAATTATTTTCTTTCTTAAGCCATTAACTCCTATGTAAACTTTGTTTGAAATGCCACCATGCAAATGTCATGAGCTAGGCCTTTTGCTCCTGTACTCATTCACTGCAGCCTGCATCCTTTTTTACAAAAGCGCCTAAATACTTTATAATAAAAAAATACCAATACAAGTGAAGTCAGCCTGGCGGTTCCAGCCCCCACCAGTTAACTGGGAACGGCAAGCATCACTCGTTAAGGGTTAACCAGTTAACCTTTCACATACCTAGAATGAGGTAACATCAAAGGCTGCTTCTTGGAAACCGCTGGGATCTGGATATACCACACACAAAGCCAGTACAGCCAATACTATTGATCCATTTCTCCTGGTACATGGCATCTTGAAACATCTCTCTTTGATTGTCCTTAAAATTCTTTATAACAAGAAAAAGACATCATGAAATGTTATTACCATGATATTTCTGATAATTATCAGAAGTATTGACTAAACTCTCTGTTTTTCCCCTTGCTGACTGAATGGCAGACATGACCATACAACGGAAAAAAGACCAAAAGTATTCAAGCAAAATTCCCATTGAAATCAGAGTAGCTTTGTAGGCTCAGACCTACACTCCACAGCATCACCCTATTACAGCATCGAATGAAACCGGCTCCATTTTGGAGACATGAGGCCAAAGTACATGTCGTTTATCTGCCTTGCCTTGGAAGAGATTTAACCATCATAGGAGTCCGTAGAGTGGGAGAAGGTATGGAAAGACTTCAGTGATAGTATGGATGAAACCCCTAATATATCTACTCAGCTGGTCCTGATTTCCAAGTTGCCACTGGGAGAAAACCAGCTTGATGTATACTTTGCCAGAACAAGTGAACGATGGCACACAATGGGATTCCTGCAGGTTATATCTTGTCCAGAGCTGTAAAGTCTGGAGTTCACACAGAACATCTCAATCCAGAATTTCAGTCCAGGGCCATCTCTGGGTTAAGGGGTGACTTGATCAGTCTATAAATACCAACAAGAACAAAACTTCAAGCTCATTAATCCTTGACAAAGGTATGACTAGATCCAATGTCTGGAAGTTGAAGCGACTCAAATTCTGCCTAGAAATAAGGTTGTTGGGGTTTTTTCCTCCATTGGGATAACTCACCTTTGGAACAGTAACAAAGGTTGTAGCAAATTCTCCATCAGTGAAGATCTTAACATTAAGAATACCTTTGTAAAAGAAATGTTCAATGCTAATTTGAAAAAGATGCCCCTGGATTAATTCTTGTGGCCTGTTACATAGGATGTTGAACCAGATGATGATAGTCCCACCTGTGTTTTCTGATAACATGCAACACTGACTTGTATGGAACCACTAAGTAGCAAGTGCTTCTGAAGAGCCATCACTTCAGTTTTCTCATTTAAAGCCAGGTGGATTAATGTGTGTCCCTGCTATGGACTCGGCTTTTAAACAACAAGGTCATAACTTAATGTCCTCAAAACTCAAATAGTTCTAAAATAACAGATGGGAGGGCGGATGAAAGAGGTTCTGCTAAACTTCTAAATTATTCTCTCTGCTTGGCAGTGTGATGGCAAGTAGACTTACCCATCAGGATCGGAGCTCCAGGGAACATCCCCAATGGAGGACAGTCCCTGCCCTGAAAGAGCTCACTCTACTGAGGAGAGTTTTCACCGGGATTTCTTCTTAAAAAAAACAAAACTGCAAAACACATCTTTAAAAAGCAAGAGTGGTTCTGTATTAGCAGCAGGCACACCACCCACACTGCCCAAGAAAGACTCTCTTGTGGGAGAGAATATTGCCTAGGCAATCATAACACACCAGATGACACTGCTCAGCATCTAAACTATTTCTGGTATTTTTTTCCTGTTTAGAGAGACAACACACACACGCCTGCAGCAAAGAGCTGGGCAATTTCATACTCTGCTTCCAAGAGACCGACACATGGCCTGAATTTAAACAGAAAACTTCATTTTTCCTTGGAAACTGTTTTTCAAAAATGCTGATGAAAGGAAAACATCTGAAATGGAGAAACTTGCAAATTACGGCAATTTGCAAAGTCAGAGCAGGAGAGAGAAAGAACTTTAAAATAACTTGGCCAAGGGGTAGCCAATTTAGTCTGTAACAGGAAAAACTTAAAAAACAACAAATAGTCTGTGCCCACGAAAGCTCATGATACCATCTACATGTTTTGTTAGTCTTTAAAGTGCTACCAGACCTTTTGTTGTTTTTAAAATAACTGTTTCTAGTGCTGATGGCAGATGCTCATTTCCCAGCCCTGACAAGGGGAACTTTATAATTTGACATGGGCAAACATTTTCAAATAAAGTCTGAAGTTAGGTTCCCTCTGGCCAGGTCTACACTAAAGAGGAAAGTCGACTCAAGATACGCAACTCCAGCTATGTTAATTATGTAGCTGGAGTCGACATATCCTACTTCAAGTTTCCCTGCTGTCCCTACAGCAGGAGGCCGAAGGGAGCAAACACTCCCATCAGCTTCTCTTACTCCTCACAGAAGCAGGAGTACCAGCTGCCAACTGGGGTGCCCTCTGAGTTTGATTTAGTGAGTCTTAAGTAGACTCACTAAATCAAACTCCAAAAAGATTGATCATGGCATCATCAATCTTCCATTTAATTAAGACATAACCTCAACTCCATATTTCAGTTCTCTTAAGCATCTGAGGAAATGAGTTGTAGCTCACAAAAGCTATGCTCTAACATCCTAATCATTTTGTTAGCCTTTAAAGTGTCCCTGGACTCCTGGTTGTTTCAATTAAGAGAAATGACTTTTTTTCAAAAGTACTGAGCAATGTGGACTTAACTGGGATCTGTGGCTTGTACAGTGCTCTTGAAAATCCCACTGCTTATTTAGGAGCCTGAATATGGAAGTTAGAACCTAACTTTAAACACTTATTTCTGAAAAATTTGATCACAGCAATATAGTGGAGCTGGCACAAGTGGTTCTTTTCATCCCCAAGTGAGAGAATCATTCATATCTCTCTTCCCCCACCATTCATACACAGCTGAACAGCAACTGCAGACACCAAAAGAGACCCACAGCTGAAGGGTGAGAGTCCTTTCCTGAGAGGTGGGAGATGCCTGTTCAAATCTGTTCAGCCCCTCAGGCAGAGGATGGGAATTGAACCTGTGTTTCCCACTTCCCAGGTGGGTGAGCCAACCAGGGGGCACAAGGTGGCTAATAATTGCCCTCCACCCCCACTGGCTGCAGCTCAAATGTCAGATGACTCTGAGCACATCTACTGGATTGGGCCCAGCTGGGAAGAGAGATGCTCCTCCATCTACCTTCCCCAGTTCATGGGTCCAGAAGCAAAATTTATGTTTGGAAAACATGCCATTTGCCATTCACATTCTGACCCTCACCTTGCAAGCTTTCCTACATGGGTAGGTTTCATCAAAGTCAGTGGGGCTTTGTGCACAGCATAGGGATCCTTCCACATGGAACAGCTTGTCAGATCTGTGCATGTATCAGTAGTTATGTAAACGATGTGGTATAGTTTCTGTTGGGATGACTTACGTAATTAGTCACCCTGGCACAAAAGGTAAATATCAAGATATATATGCAGATTTATTATTCCCAGTTTGAGCTCCAGGCCAAGAATTAATTCACTGAAAGTGTGTGAATAATTCCAAACTACCCACAGATTTCAAGAAGTTTTTGTTCGTAGACAATCCACATACAGGATTTAAAAAGCAAAATTCATTGAGGTAATTGTGAATCATTTTGGTAATCAAAAAATGTGGCTTTGAGACAGAAATTGACAGAACTTCAAAGCAGAACTCAAAACTTTTTATTTAAAAAAACAGTTTAAGATGAACAAGTGAGTGGAATATGAATAATAATTGTTACTGCTTCTGTTGTTCAGATACCCAAAAAACATACAGCTCGTTTAAAAAGTACTAAATCAGTTGTAGTTGTACTTTAACCCATCACGTTAAACTTTTCAGAATCTCACCTTCTGTTATGGTAACATTTTTAAGACCCATAATATTATTAGATGGTCATCCAGTAATTGACATTATCTCATATTTGGTCTTTCCCAATGTTTTCCAACTCTTAATATTTATCATGCTAAAAAAGAAAAGCAGTATGTGTTACTTTAATTGAAAGAAACAGATTTTAGTCACTAATGTTGTCTGCACTAGCAAATACAGGAGCTACAAACATTTAACTTGTTTTTTTTAATCAGATTAATTCAAGGGTCGCAATGCCCAGTTCTCATAGCACTACATGCGAAACTCGAAATAAAGTACACAATTTTCACCATGCAAATTGTGTAGCTTATTTCGAGTCTATTTCAAAATAACGCGCTATTTCAAGCCATCCTGTAACCCTCATGCAACAAGGTTTACAGGGATGGCAAAATAGCGCACCCATTATTTTGAAAAATATTTCAAAATAACGGGCATGTTTCTAAGACACGGGGCAGCTATTTTGGGATACCTCAGTATTCTGAAATATCTCTGCTATGTAGACATATCCATATTGTGGACATCAGCTGAAATTCCAATCCGATTTGAGGTGTTTAGTATCAAAGATATTCTGCCATTGAAGGGCATCGAGTCATATGTGGAGATAGCACCATACACTAAAGAGTATCTACTCCTCCTTAAAGCTGGAACAGCACACTAGCTTCCTGGGATGCCAGCCTGTACTTATCGTAGAAGGAAGCACATGTAGAGTGTGGACCATTTTCAAAATGATCATGTCTCTTTAATCATAGTGTGCATCCCATCAATTAGGCAGGTGAAGTATTGTATGCTAAAGTAGGTCACCACCACGTTGGTCCCCTATCATAGAATCATAGAATACTAGAACTGGAAGGGACCTCAAGAGGTCATAAAGCCCAATCTCCTGCACTCATGGCAGGACCAAGCACCATCTTCATCCATAATAGCTGTCTATCCAACCTGCTTTTATATATCTCCAATGATGGAGACTCCACAACCTACGTAGGCAATTTATTCCAGTGTTTAACCACTCTAACAGGAATTTTTTCCTAATGCCCAACCTAAACCTCCCTTGCTGCAATTTAAACCCATTGCTTCCTGTCCTATCACACACAAATTCGTGTTCCCTGCTGCTCACCATCATTCCAGCCTAAGTGGAATCAATGCCAAAGTGGAGATGACCTCATCACTTATCAACTTCTGGTGTCAACATGCTTACAGTTTTTCACACAGCTTACCTAAGCTGTGGTAGCAGGATTAGTCAAGTGTCCACAGATGCCTCCCTCTGTATGTGGTCCATTCTTCTGGGCAGGTTCCTGGAGCTAGGAACAGGACATATACAATTACTCATTATAAAGATTTTATGAGCTAAAAGAGTCTTGACTGGCTTCCAACCTAACTAGGACCCATTAATAATCAGGAAATTCTCTCTTGTTAGAACAGAGCTACACAGTTTACCTCTCCTGTGGTCCTGATAGGGACAATTTACAGGTTCATTGCTATAAGAAATAGTTCTGCCTGTTCAGTCTGAACATCCATCTAGACCAGTTCCCTGTCTTCTGACAGTGGCCAATGCCTGCTGCCTTGGAAAGAATGAACAGAACAGGTAATCAGGTGATTCATCCTCTGTCCTCTATTCCCAGCTTCTGGCAAATAGAAACACCCATTCCTGCCCATCCTGGCTAATAGCCATTGGTGGACCTATCTTCCATATATTTTAGTTCTTTTTTGAACCCAGTTATAGTCACAACTCCCTCTGGCAATGAGTTCCACAGAATGACTGTGCATTGTGTGAAGAAATACTTACTTTTTTTATTTTAAACCTACTGCCTATTAATTTTCATTTGATGACCCCTAGTTCTTGTGTTTATGAGTAAATAAAACTTCCTTATTTACTTTCTCCACACCAGTCACGATTTTATAGGCCTCTGCCATATCAATATTGGTTGTCACCATTGGAAATTATAGTTCTTTATTTAGGAAGCAGCGCTGGTGCTGTTCCTCCCCCTTTCAGTATGCCCTTTGCCATGTGGCAGCTGTATTTAAGCTTAAGGTAAGTCATCTTACCTTAAGCCGAGCCTTGGTGGTGTCCGCACAGGGTCCACTAGACCTGCTAAATCAAACACCAGAAGACCAACCTCTGGAGCATAGATCTTCCAAAAAGTAGAGTCATGCCCCCAGATAGTAAGGGTCAGAAATCCTGGGTCCCAGTGCTGTGCTCTGACAGGACTATTGCCATTCCTTTCACTAACACAAAACCCAATCACATCAGATAGGGCCATTCAGTCACTAAAGCAAGAGTTAAGCACATCACAGAGAATTTGACTCCGCAAACCGGGATTTCTGGTGTTGAATAATTTGAAGTGCAACCTCCAGTTCTTCTCACCTCTAAACAGTGTTTTTTCATAAGATGCATAATTAAATTGGGCAGAGAGGGAACCTTCTCTTCAGGATGATAAACGTTTTGCTTTCTCTGGTGTGTTTTGGTTTTGTTTGGAGCTGGGTGAGCAGGAGATCTTGTGCATGTTTACTTGGGGACTTGATTTTTGCACCAGCATGAGCTGCAGCAATCAAGAGACAGCTAAGTCTCTAGCAAAGGACCTGAGCTGCCATGCCACATGTACTTCTGCAGTTCAGAAATGACCAGACTCAGCACTCTAAGTCTGTCTCCACTTGTCTGGAAGTGGCATGCACAGAGAAATATAGGAAGTTCCCCACTTACGAATGGGTTTGTAAGTTGGTTGTGTGTAACTCGGAGCACATTTTCCCATAGAAACAACA